TGTATGTGTTACTGAATGTGTGTGCACCGCACCCGGCTGCCTTTGTCTCCCCAGATTGTGCAAAGTACTGATTTAAGGATGAGTTGACCTAGGGGAGGCCCGGGAAGAGTTCAGACATGCGTCTCTGGGTTCGCAGCGGAGTTCGCTAACCACTAAACCACCGCTCCCGCTCCCGCACACGCACACGCAGAGACACGCGCACAGACGCAAAAAAGACATAGATCCCCCGTATAGCCTTAAAAGACTGTTGGGGCAAGTGCTGTTAGCGAGCACCTATGAAGGGCGGAACGGCACACGTGGGGTGGGTGGCCAGCAACCACGCCCGGCCGCCTTTGTCTCCCTAGTAGCGATTGTTTAAGCACAGGACCAGGTACTCATTTGAGGCTGAGTCGACCTAGGGGAGGCCAAGGACCAGTTCAGATAATCGAACTCGTGTCGACAGGTTCGTAGCGCAGCACGCTAACCGCTACAATACCGCTTCCCATTCGCACAGACACACACGCGCCCCTGTAATAACTCTTTAAAGTGCCAACGATGGTGTGTAATGATTCATCTCGAGATAGGCCTGCACATCAAACCTCCAGCTTACATCTCGCCCCGAGCGTGAAGCCACCAATGTCCCAATAGTCAGCTGGCAACGTTAACAATGTTCCCCTAGTTAGCTAGCAATAATATTCATATTCTGAATGGCTTTTGAATAAAAAAGCAGAAGGGCTACTATTTTGTGATGAATGTTGTAAGCAATTCCACGGCAAAATCCGGGGCGGTAGCTCAGTGTAGCCCGCTCGTTCCACCAGAATGCGCGCGTTGTATGGGGGGGGGGGGGGGGAGTCATCAGCGGTCCACGCCTCGCAGTGCGCATCTGCCCGCATTCGTGGTGGAGTCCCGAATCGTCTGATGGGGCAATTATCCCGCACACCTGCCTAGTGGTGGTGCTGCTGTTGTGGTTGTTGGGATGCGGTTGAGAGCGGCCCCCACTGCGGTCGGGGTAGCAGAGAAACCAGGGGGGGGGAGGCTGCTCCTTCGTCGGGTCTCGAGTCAGGGCCTCGATGGGGCTCCACGTCCCGCGCCACGTGGGTGGCACTGGGGTCCTGCTCGACTCAGTCCGCAATGTTAGCGACGCCTCCCCCAGTGCGCCCTTTACATTGGTGCAACTCAATGGATGTGTGTGTGTTACACTTCTTTTGCACCGTACGTAACCAACCGTGATAATCAGAAGTTTGGAATGACAACGTCTGGTAGTTCACTCGTTTTGGCTGAAGCCCGACTCTGCTGATGAGACACCCGGTCACCCGAGTTCGATTTACGATCACAGCGACCATCAGGTCCCTCTGTGAACCTTGTCTTAAAAGGGTACTTGATGTGATGTGCACACATGGAACACTGGGGGGACAAAGGCTGTCGAGCGTGGCGCTAAACACACCTTCCCAGATCGAATAGGTGCTCGCTAATAGCACTGACACCAACGGTGTATAGTGGTACGCAGTGTATAATGGTGCGTGCATGAATGCACCGTGCGTGTGTATGGGTATGTGGTTAGCGCGCTGCGCTACGAACCCGGCGACACGAGTTCCATTCCCGATCACGGCCAACAACAGTAACGATTATCTGAAGCTATCCCGGACCTCCCCTAGGTCCACTCAGCCATCAATAAGTACCGTGTCTGGTGCCGTGTGCAAACATCGTCACGCAGGAGACAAGGATTTCCGGGTCTAATTGTAACGTGAAGATGATTGTCCAAACATCCCAATGTAGCAGCCCCTTCCTGTAGAGGAGTCTCGAGACTGGGTGAGGCTGTGGTGGACGAGACGAGCACCCCCGCGTGACGGCGATGGGTGAGCGACCCTGATGAAGCCGGGCAACGACACGGGCCAGTCGACGTTCTTCACGTGGGTCCAGCAGCAGCAGCAGCAGCAGCAGCGACGCCGCCTCTCGCTGCTGCTCACTTCACTGTGAGCGCACAGCTCACACGCTTCGTCGTCTCGAGAGACTCGTTCTCTCATTCTCTCTCTCCCCTCTCTCTCCCCTCTCTCCCCTCTCTCTCTCCCCTCTCTCTCTCCTCTCTCTCTCCTTCTCTCTCTCCCCTCTCGCTCTGAGATGACATGCGCGGTGCACTGGAGCGAGGCTTGGCGAGTTGGGGAGATATTGGGATTCGTGTGGATTTTGAAAACGGTTTTCCCCAGATGGGTTTTAAGATTATCACCCAACACAAACAATCTGACTCCAATCGTCTGTAAACTATTACGGCTCACGTGTTACTCTGAAGCAACACACACACTCATTGATAACCCCCTCGTAGCGTGCGTAACGTGTGGACACGCATGTACACCTGTCCATGCGTGTGAGTGTGTGTCCATGCGTGTGTGTGTGTGTCTATGCGTGTGAGTGTGTGTGTCTATGCGTGTGAGTATGTGTGTGTCTATTCGTCTGAGTGTGTGTGTGTCTATGTGAGTGAGTGTGTGTGTGTCTATGCGTGTGAGCGTGTGTGTCTATACGTGTGTGTCTATGCGTGTGAGTGTGTGTGAGTGTGTGTGTGTCCATGCGTGTGAGTGTGTGTGTGCGTCACAAGTGTTTATAGGTGCTACTCGCTAAGAGCACTTACACCAGCAGCCTGTGGAGGCTACATGGGGGATCTTTGTCTTGTGTGTGTGTGATGGCGTGTGGCTACGCGTGGAGGTGTCGTGGAGCGGCGGTGTAGGGTTGGCGCGCTGCGCTACGAACCCGGCCACCCGAGTTCGATCCCCACTCAAAGTCAATGCCAGTGAACCTGTCCCGTGCCTCTCGCTAGGTCAACTCAGCCTCAAATTAGTACCTGGTGCAGTGTGCAAGCATCGCCACTGGGGAGACAAAGGCGGCCGGACGTGGTGTTGGTCACCCCCCCCCCCCTCGTGTGCCGTATCGAGATGCTCGCTGATAGCACTTCTTATTATTCTCTTCATACTTTGTTTAATTTCGCGTCATTCATGCAAATTGCATCTCGCAACGCTGTGCATTCATTACATGCACAATCACATTTTGTGGTAAATACCTTCAAAAGTAATTATAGTAATAAGTGGATTGCCCCAACAGAACCCCCTCCGTCAACCCACCTGACCACCCCCTTCTCCTCCTCCTCCTTCAATCACCGTCCCGACCACAACGCCACTGCGGCTCTCCGCAACCTCCCAGCCACAAAAGGGCCATGCCCCCCCCCACCTTCACATGTGACCGCCCCCCCCCCCTGTGCTGCCCCCTCATGCCCCCCATCATCACCCACTACCACCCCTCGCTCCCTCCGTCACCCCCACTGGAGTCACCCCAGCACCATGCCCACTCACCCGGCCGCTGCGAGCACGACACTCGGTGTGGCGGAGGCGTCCACCCCGCGCGTCAGAGGACGACAGCAGCCCGCACTCACCGCACCGCCATCGACTCTGGCGAACAACAGCGCCGCGCTACGCACAGCGCCGCGCTACGCACAGCGCCGCGCTACGCACAGCGCCGCGCTACGCACAGCGCCGCGCTACGCACAGCGCCGCGCTACGCACAGCGCCGCGCTACGCACAGCACCGCGCGATATGAAGAGAGTGCGCGTGCTGCGAGAGGTGGATGCGGCGTGGGGACGAGGAGGAGGCGGAGGAAGCGGCCCGCGTCGATCGGCTCGACCATTCCTCATGGCACACTCACAATGGTGGTGGTGTTGGTGGTGATGTGTGCACACTCACAATGGTGGTGGTGTTGGTGGTGGTGATGTGTGCACACTCACAATGGTGGTGGTGTTGGTGGTGGTGATGTGGGCACACTCACAATGGTGGTGGTGTTGGTGGTGGTGATGTGGGCACACTCACAATGTTGGTGGTGTTGTTGGTGGTGATGGGGGCACACTCACAATGGTGGTGGTGGTGATGGTGTGGGGAGCGGTAGAGTAGCGGTTAGCGCGCTGCGTTGCGAACTCGGAGACCCGAGTCAGATTACCTCTCACGGCCAACACCAGTGACGATTATCTGAACCGTTCCTGGGCCTCCCCTAGGTCGATTCAGTCTCAAATGAGTACCTGGTGCGGTGTGTAAAAACATCGCCACTGGGGAGACAAAGGCGGTCGGGCGTGGTGCTGGCCACCCAACCCCCTCGTGTGCCGTGCCGGCCTTCATAGGGGCTCGCTGACAGCACTTGCCCCAACAGTCTGTTAGGGCTACACGGGGGGTCTTTGTCTTTGATTGACATTTGGACGCGGTTTCACAGTGGAGCGGTAGAGTGGCGGCGAGCGGTGAGCGCTGCGCTGCATCCCCGGCCAGCCGGGGATGCAGCACTTGCCCCAACAGTCTGTTGAGGATGTATGGCTCATCTTTGGCTTGTCTCTGTATATATATGTGTGTGTATATACACACAGACAGACATCCTGCCAGCAGGCGTTGGACATTTCACGTGGCCTTAAAGTGCACATAGCCTGGCACAAGCGCCGTGGTGACGTCACCGCCACTGAGTGGCGCTGGTGTATATATGTGTTTGTGTATATAGACATAGTTGTTGTCAATGTGTCTGGTATATATACTTATATATAAATATAGTTGTCAATGTGTCTGGTATATATACTTATAAGAAGAGGAGTCGGGGGTGGGCTTGTTGCAGAAGCGGCAATCATCGCCGTCGATGGCGCCCTCTCTCCCCGTGCCCTTCTCTCTGCTTTCTCTCTCCGCTCGTTCTCCCACCTTGCGCTCTCCCCTGCGAGGTCCTAACCATCATCACCAACCTCACCTCTGACGACTCCACAGCCCTCTCCACACAGCCAGCAAGCCATTCCTCCACGGCCCCCACCCCCGCCCCGCCCGCCTTGCCACCGCACATCCATCCTCCAACATCCTCGATCCCGTCACCCCCCCCACACACCCCACCCACCTTCCCCCCGCCCCCAAGTTCCCCCCTCCCCCCCTCCCCCCCGCGTCTTTCGGGGTCTGCGGGCGGAGACTGGCAAGACTAGAAAGTGACCAGGACGCGACCAGAACGTGAGTGAGAGCGAGAGAGGCAGAGGAGGAGAGAGGCACCGGCAGAGCCGCAGAGGAACGGAGCGACACGCAGAGAGAGGGAGCGGCGCAGACACGCCGACTCGTGCACGCACACAGGCGCCGATACGACTCAGGCGGAGAGAGGCAGCGGCACATCGAGAGGCAGATACACACACACCGCGAGACTGGGATAACACGCGGAGAGACACGCGGGGAAAGGAAGGTACACGCCGGGTGAGATAGACAGAGAGACACACACAGCAGCAGGCAAGAGACAGAGAGAGACACCCAGCACTGGCCCCGAAGGTCGCCGCACCGCTGTTATCATCATCCTCATCATCATCTTCATCATCATCCTCATCATCATCCTCATCATCATCACCGTCGTCATGATGCTGAGTGGAACCCGCGTGCTCCTCCTCGCCGCTCTCATCTGCTCACTCGCCGTTACTCCGTCCCGCGCCTGCGGACCCGGCCGCACGTACGGGCGCCGTCGCCAGCCGCGCAAGCTGACGCCGCTCGCCTACAAGCAGTTTGTGCCCAACGTGGCGGAGAAGACGTTGGGCGCGAGCGGCCGCTACGAGGGGAAGATCGCGCGCGGCTCCGAGCGCTTTAAGGAGCTGACGCCCAACTACAACCCCGACATCATCTTCAAGGACGAGGAGAACACGGGCGCAGACCGCCTCATGACGCAGGTGAGAGGGTCGCCTTCGCTGCTGGCTCGTCGACATGCTGATGATGATGATGCTGCTGATGATGATGCTACTGTTGTTGCTGCTGCTGTTTTTGTTGCTGCTACTGCTGCTGTTTGTGATGCTGCTGCTGCTGATGATGATGATGCTACTGCTGCTACTGCTGCTGATGATGCTGCTGCTGATGATGCTGCTGCTGCTGCTACTGCTGCTGATGATGATGCTGCTGCTGCTACTGCTGCTGATGATGCTGCTGATGATGATGCTGCTGCTGTTGCTGCTGCTGTTGTTGCTGCTGCTGCTACTGCTGCTGATGATGCTGCTGCTGCTGATGATGATGCTGCTGCTGTTGCTGCTGCTGTTGTTGCTGCTGTTGTTGCTGATGTTGTTGCTGCTGCTGTTGTTGCTGCTGCTGCTGCTGCTACTGCTGCTGATGATGCTGCTGATGATGCTGCTGCTGTTGTTGCTGCTGTTGCTGCTGCTGTTGTTGCTGCTGCTGCTACTGCTGGTAGATCCCGGGACCAGTGCCGTGCGGGCAAGTCAGGGCGAGCCTCGTTCGCCCCGCGCTTTCTATCGGCTTTAGCGTCGCACTCCACGGGAGGCAAACAATAATACAATGTATTAATCTTTCTGTCGATCGAGAAGAACCACACTGAGTCTAAGGACACTTTTTTCAGGAGGGTCCTGCTACATTTAGGAGTTTATGTTTAGATGTTTCCAGCCAATTAATGATGAGTGTGTTTACGCACGTGCGAGCAGGCCGGAGCACCCAAAGAGAACCCGCGCGTGCGAGGGGGCAACACTCTATCCCTGTGCAGATGGAAGCACAGGTGGAGATTAAGTTCGCACTTGCTATACTGCCTTCTCCCGCAAAGCCAGGGCATGGCACATCGAAGTACTGGGTTCACTGTGAGTGAGTGATTCCCGCTCACGCCCATCGCCAGTGACGATTATCTCAACCGGTCATGGGTCTCCCCTAGGTCGACTCAGCCTCAAATTAATTTTTAGTTGCGGTGTGCGAACATCGCCACTAGGGAGACAAAGGCGGCCGGGCGCGGTACTAGCCACCCACCTCCTCGTGGTGCGCTGTACCGACCTTCACAGGTGCTACTCGCTAACAGAACTTGCCCCAACAGTCTGTGACGGCGATACGAGGGGATGTTCGTCTTTGTCTGTGCACGTGTGCACCTGTGAGCGTTGGCTCAAATCTTACCCCTCTCAAGTAATGAACGCATTCGTCAATGACAATGCGAACATAAAATGAAAAAAGTGTATATTTAATCGGCGACGTTTCCGGCAATGATCCTTCTTCATATCCGAGAGCTAGAGAGGCCATCTACAAATGAATGATATAATAGCCGAATATTGCACCGTGGAAATGTGGCGGCTCCACTGGGAGATCGTCAGAGGCCACTAACTTCTAATTGTAACGGACAGAGGCTGCTTCTCCCTAATAGACACCGCCACGAGGGATCTCTGCCCGCCTGTGTCCACCCAGCAGGGCACACGTGGGCAGTCCGCAGTTAGTCGCTCGGCTGGGTCGGGGTGGTGAAGTGAGGTGTGGTTACTCCCACGCCTCTATCCAACTTGAAGATGTTTCTATCCAAAATGAAAATGTATGTACCCAACATAAAGATGTGTGTATATAGTTTTTGTGTTGTATAGTGACATCTTTCATACAAATTTCTTCTCATATTGCTGCTGTAGAATTTGTAACGCAGAGGCGGGAAGGAAGGTAGGCAGAACGTGGGCCAACAGTTGCCCAAGTCTCGTGCTGCTAAGTTGCGATATCTGCCCAGCTCTGTGGAGGAACGCGAAGTACCCGGAGGACACGAATGCTCGTACAGATGGAATCGAGATTACAATGAACCGCTTGCTGTACCGTCATCATACCCTGGCAATCCAGGAGATGGACGTGAGTAGAGAGGGAGTTACACGCATTTGTGTAATGATAAAATAATTCCCCTTTCTTTACCACAAAACCCTCACTGACTCCGAAGACTCCTTTTCAGGAGGATCCTGCTGCTTTGGGATGGTTGAGTAGTCATCTGAAGAGTGAGAGTTTGGTTTCGTGTGCCAGGAACCTGGAGGGCACCGAGCCATCCCTTACCGCGACCCACGCTAGGAATGGCACCGAGAGACGGGAAGAGGAACGCTGTCGATTCGGGAACAAACGGAGATCAGAGGCGACACGTTGAGTGGCTTTGAGCAGAACGCGTCGCTCGAAGGGATGATGATCATGATGATGACCGATAGACGAGTGTGGCGACGAAGTAAGAGCCGAATGAATCGAGAGAAACGCACCCAAGAGGGCGATCGCCGTGGAGATGGAGCGATGAGATGGAGCGATGAGATGGACTGTGAACATGGGTGAGACCGGGGGGTCTTCCCCAGACTGGGAGGGATGGCGACGGCGTGGGGAGGCCTTCATCCAGCAGTGGATGCATCACATCTCGTTGTGTTCATGATAAATCGGGAGTGTCCATTATTGTCTCTATCAGTACGGGAGCTCGTTCTTTGTAGGCTCTGGGATGATGGGTTCCTGCGAAGGACTCCGAGTGCCCGAAACCAAGCGGTGGCTTCACCCAGAGGCCTCGCCACGCTCACGACGACGACGACGGACGACGTTCGACGAGGCTGTCAATGGCTCCACGGCTGCTGCTGACCGTGCAGGGAAGCGTGACGATGTTTGTCGTTCACCAGTCTCAGGGAACATCTCTCATTGAGGCGGTGATGGTGGAGATGGTGCACTTCGGCTGTTCGTCAGGACTCTGACGGGCGGTGTTTTTAATGTTCGGGAAGGAGGTGACAATTACACATTTATTTAACTTGCTAAACACTATTTAATTGGCCAGACATCCCAATGTAGCGGACCCTCCTGTAAAAGCGGTGTTGAGACTCAATGAGGCTTGCCTGGGTACATTCATTTCTAACTCGCATTGATCTTACTGTTACTAATTTCACAACGTAAATAAAGACATTGAAAGACGGAGACAGACGCAGAGGCGCATATTCAAAGGTTGAACTCATCGGTGAACAAACACGACAGAGAGCAGCAAGGAAGGAAAGATGGAGGAGAGAGAGGGAGGAGAAAGGTATGAGATCGAGAGAGAGGGAGACACACGGAGGGACAAAAAAAGAGGCAATGAGAGAAAGACAGATACACACCCGGGGAGAGAGACGCGCACAGACAACAAAACAGACACGCACAGTCAGAGATGGAGGAGACACACAGCGACACGCGCACACGGGGAGAGAGTCCGCAGGAGAGAGAGAGAAGAGACGCGCACAGTCAGAGATGGAGGAGACACACAGCGACACGCGCACACGGGGAGAGAGTCAGCAGGAGAGAGAGAGAAAAGACACGCACAGTCAGAGATGGAGGAGACACACAGCGACACGCGCACACGGGGAGAGAGTCAGCAGGAGAGAGAGAGAAGAGACACGCACAGTCAGAGATGGAGGAGACACACAGCGACACGCGCACACGGGGAGAGAGTCAGCAGGAGAGAGAGAGAAAAGACACGCACAGTCAGAGATGGAGGAGACACACAGCGACACGCGCACACGGGGAGAGAGTCAGCAGGAGAGAGAGAGAAAAGACACGCACAGTCAGAGATGGAGGAGACACACAGCGACACGCGCACACGGGGAGAGAGTCAGCAGGAGAGAGAGAGAAGAGACGCGCACAGTCAGAGATGGAGGAGACACACAGCGACACGCGCACACGGGGAGAGAGTCAGCAGGAGAGAGAGAGAAGAGACACGCACAGTCAGAGATGGAGGAGACACACAGCGACACGCGCACACGGGGAGAGAGTCCGCAGGAGAGAGAGAGAAGAGACGCGCACAGTCAGAGATGGAGGAGACACACAGCGACACGCGCACACGGGGAGAGAGTCAGCAGGAGAGAGAGAGAAGAGACACGCACAGTCAGATATAAAGGAGACACACAGCGACACGCGCACACAGGGAGAGAGTCAGCAGGAGAGAGAGAGAAGAGACACGCACAGTCAGAGATGGAGGAGACACACAGCGACACGCGCACACGGGGAGAGAGTCAGCAGGAGAGAGAGAGAAGAGACGCGCACAGTCAGAGATGGAGGAGACACACAGCGACACGCGCACACGGGGAGAGAGTCAGCAGGAGAGAGAGAGAAGAGACGCGCACAGTCAGAGATGGAGGAGACACACAGCGACACGCGCACACGGGGAGAGAGTCCGCAGGAGAGAGAGAGAAGAGACACGCACAGTCAGAGATGGAGGAGACACACAGCGACACGCGCACACGGGGAGAGAGTCCGCAGGAGAGAGAGAGAGAAGAGACGCGCACACAGGGAGAGGGACACATGGAGAGATACAGACGACGAGGAGAGTGGGAGGGAGAGAGGGAGGGAGAGAGGGAGGGAGAGAGGGAGGGAGGGAGGGAGATCGTTTCGCCCGCCCGGCACGCGCCACTGAACGCCTCCAGAGCGGCGCTCAGCGATGCGCGAAATCGGCCTCGCGAGCACGGGGCGGGCTCACGGCGAGACAACCGATTAGCGTCTCGTGTCACGGACTTAATGGCCTGGAAGCCTCCCCGCCGCTTCCCCCTCGTGCCTGCCAAGTCGCCTCGCGGGGGGCTGGCCCGACGCACCGAGACCCCCTCTGGGCGAGTAAAACGACCCCCTTCCTGTCGAGGCGGCCGAGTGGGTCAGGGGTCACGGCCGACGCCGTTGGGAGCCTGGGTTCGAACCCAGGGTGAGGCCGCCCGCGATTAAAGCGGGTTTCCGAGGGCAGCAATTTGATGGTTTCCGCCCGGTTCTCATTGACTGCAAGTATCACCAAAACAACACGAGTTGTCATCGTAATTAGCCATTTGTCTATCCACTGCCGGCTGCAGCCCCCCACCCCCCCCCAGCGACATCCCGAACGATCCAGCGCCGCTCTGGTCCGTCTGTCTCGCTCCTACATCGTCGACTCCGATCTCATCGCTCCGTCTCCACAGTGGTCGCGTCTATCGGCGATCAGACAAACCAGACTCGAACGTCGAGTGGCCGCCGGGCTCGTCGCCCGGCACGATAACCGCTGCGCCACCGCTATGACGATCTATTTACATCGACACTCAACACGTTGGTCAATAACACTGTGGTCTTCAATACAAGTACGTCAGACGACGTTTCGGACAATGGCCCGTCTTCGCGATGTACCTGCACAGGTGCTCGAGACGGCCAGGCACGCAGCCAGTCGCGCCCCACCCGTGCACAGCGCCCCGCACGAGGGCAGCGACGTTGATGAGAAGCCGCGACTCCAAGTCGCGGTCACTCGCTGGCCACGTAGCGCGTTGTCTCGCTGCGTCGTCTCTCAAGCGGCATCATGACTCACTTGAGCGTGACTTTAAACACAATTCATTGTTGTATCTGATGAACGAAGCGGCCGCGCATTAGCAACTTATTTAACCCGTCGGGCAGAGGCTGAGGGCCGATTGCGAGTTCATCCGACAGAGCGACTCGCACCAACAGCCGCGAGGGCGACTCCGCGCAATGGGATCTGCGCGACTCTCCGACCCTCTCTTGCGAGCGCCTCTCTCACAGCGGGGCGCGCTGCCGTGGCGTCTAGCGCTCACCTTGACAGCGCGGGCCGACACGCGCTTCCATGGCGCTGTGCTCTATCGGGTCGTTACGCGCATCGACACGAGCGCAATGGAAACTGATTTCTGTACGCAAAGTATCAACACCCCTGGCCCGTGACTCGTGCTACAGATGCCGCGGTGGCGAGGTGTTAACCAATCGATCCTACACACATGACCACCTCGCCTAATATACAGGAAGTCATATGATTCCATCCCGACCCTGATAATTAAGGGGGGCAAAATCTCGACGTTTCGGCCGATCGACCTCCTCGTTCCACCCTTTGGCAGCGCTGCAAGGACCGTCTCAACTCGCTCGCCATCTCGGTGATGAACCAGTGGCCCGGCGTGAAGCTGCGCGTGACCGAGGGCTGGGACGAGGACGGCCACCACTCGGACGAGTCGCTGCACTACGAGGGGCGCGCCGTGGACATCACCACGTCGGACCGCGAGCGTGCCAAGTACGGCATGCTGGCGCGACTCGCCGCCGAGGCGGGATTCGACTGGGTCTACTACGAGTCCAAGGCGCACGTGCACTGCTCCGTCAAAGCCGGTGAGCGAGCAGCAGCATCAGCGGCGGCGGCATCATCGTCACCAGCGCCACCATCGTCAGCATTGTCATCGTCACCAGCAGCGGCATCATCGTCACCAGCAGCAGGAGCATTACCAGCAGTAACAGCAGCATCGTCATACACACGTCATATTAAATTGCACACATACACGTGGTATTCAATTATACGCACGCGTGTAATTTTCAATCCTACACACATAATATGAAATCATACACGTATATTAAATGTTCAATTACACACACACGTGGTGTATTCAATGAGCTGCACGGTGAGGCGAGTTGGGTGCTAATTGGGGGTTCATCGATAGGCGGGGAGACGGCGGCGACAGTGGAGGGGGGTGGTGGGAGCTGGAGGAGGGGGTGGGAGCAGAGGGGGGTGGGAGCAGAGGGGGTGGGAGCAGAGGTGGTGGCAGCAGAGGGGGTGGGGGGCAGAGGGTGGGAGGCAGAGGGGGTGGGAGCAGAGGGGTGGGAGCAGAGGGGGTGGGAGCAGAGGAGTGGGAGCAGAGGGGGTGGAGCAGAGGGGGTGGGAAGCAGAGGGGGTTGGAGCAGAGGGGGTGGGAGCAGAGGGGTGGGAGCAGAGGGGGGGGGGTGGGAGCAGAGGGGTGGGAGCAGAGGGGGTGGGAGCCGAGGGGGTGGGAGCAGAGGGGGTGGGAGCAGAGGGGGTGTGAAGCAGAGGGGTGGGAGCAGAGGGGTGGGAGCAGAGGGGGTGGGAGCAGAGGGGTGGGAGCAGGGGGTGGGAGCAGGGGTGTGGAGCAGAGGGGTGGGAGCAGAGGGGTGGGAGCAGAGGGGTGGGAGCAGAGGGGGTGGGAGCAGAGGGTGGGGGAGCAGAGGGGTGGGAGCAGAGGGGGTGGGAGCAGAGGGGTGGGAGCAGAGGGGTGGGAGCAGAGGGGGTGGGAGCAGAGGGGTGGGAGCAGAGGGGTGGAGCAGAGGGGGTGGGAGCAGAGGGGTGGGAGCAGAGGGGTGGGAGCAGAGGGGTGGGAGCAGAGGGGTGGGAGCAGAGGGGGTGGGAGCAGAGGGGTGGGAGCAGAGGGGGGGGGAGGGGGTGGGAGCAGAGGGGTGGGAGCAGAGGGGGTGGGAGCAGAGGGGGTGGGAGCAGAGGGGTGGGAGCAGAGGGGGTGGGAGTAGAGGGGGTGGGGGCAGAGGGAGTGGGAGCAGAGGGGGTGGGAGCAGAGGGGGTGGGGGTTGAGGGGGTGGGAGCAGAGGGGTGGGAGCAGAGGGGGTGGGGGTTGAGGGGGTGGGAGCCGGAGCAATTAGCAGGAGGAGGGAATTTCGCACCTGAGCAAACGAGAAGGGGGCTGCCTGCCCCCCCCCCTTTCTGTCGCCATGTTTATTTATTTACTTGCCGTCGATGTATTCAGAGTCTGTGGAGTGAGTATGTTTGCATGCAGAGTTGAAAGGAGCGATTAGTGACGACTCCGCGTGAGAGTTCGTGTAGACACACACACAGACACACACACACACAGACACACACACAGACACACACACAGACACACACACAGACACACACAGACAGACACACACACAGACACACACACAGACACACACACAGACACACACAGACACACACACAGACACACACACACACAGACACACACACAGACACACACACAGACACACACACAGACACACACAGACAGACACACACACACACAGACACACACACAGACACACACACAGACACACACAGACACACACACAGACACACACACGGACTCTCCTCCCTCTCGCCTCTCTCACTCGCCTCCCGTCTACGCGCTCTCCCATCTCCGCCCTCTCACAACTTGCTGTTAAAACCCTCAGTCCACCTCCGCTCAGTGAGAGGTCGCTCATTCTCTTCTGGTGGCCCCACTGTCTGGAACTACTTTCCTCCTTGCCGCTCGTGCTGCCGACCGCCTGCCGCTGTCCAAGTCGCGGCTAACCAACCTCCCCCTTCTCCTCTGCCGGTGTCTGTCTGCCCCTCCCTCCCTCTCTCTATGTCGCGTACACATGTCCACGTCTTTCTGGCCATCGTATGAAGATGCCGTCGCGCATGTGGCTATATAAATACAAAGTGTAACTGACAATTAGGAAATGAAAGGATTGAAATCTACAAACATGCTAACGCCGCCAGGTTCACTAGGGGTGGCGTGGGCAAGACGGAATCTTACCTGGCTGTCTTTGTCTGTCTGGCGCTGGTATATACATGCAGTGTACCAAGTACGCATTTAAGGCTGAGTCGACTTCGGAGAAAGAATCGACAGATTCGGTTGTTGTTCAAGGCCGGGAATCTAACTTCGGTAGGATCGTCACTCAGTGCGCAACCCACGGCACCTCCGATTTGAACTGTTGGCCACGTACGGTAAGAAAGACGTTCACCATACATACTCTGCGCCACCGCTCCCAACGTAGATTCCAGTGTAGTTATAAACCAGCAATGGGGAGACAAAGGCGGTCGGGTGTGGTTTTGTCCATTCGAACCGTTCGTGTGCTATGTCGACATTTCCGCATGCATGTCCACGGTCGTGGTCGCAGTGGATGTTCGCGATGTTCCAGAAGGGATGGACAGCTGCCGTTTGGCACGAGCGCATTTGAGTTTATAGCGCATTTGAGTTTATAGCGCACTTGAGTGTATTGCTGTAGCTGGGAACTTGCGAACACCGACATCTATTCATATGGTGTCCAACAAATAACAGAACAGGGGTTGATTGATTTCACTCGCAGGGCAGGTTGAGCCTGCAGTTCCACGCGGCTGCAATTCCCTAAACCCACAAATGCCATCCCCACCACCACCGGTGCACCAAGTAATTCGCCTGCCGTGGAGTGTGACGATGTAGCCGGTAGAAAGCGGCGGGCCATGCCCGCTGTGGAGCTCTGCTGCTGCTGCTGCGTCGCGGAGCGCGCATCACGAGTCACGCGCAGCCCCCTTACGCAACCACAGCGAGTATGCGCATAACAATAATTTATTCATTCATCCGCCCATTCATTTGCTGATTCGTTCGCTCATTCATTGCTGTGTACACACGAGCACAAGTACGTTTTGTGTGCGTCGTCCCCCCCCTCTCCGCTCCCACTCCGCGCCGCAGCACAATCTGTGCTCTGTCCGGCGAGCGCGTCTCGCAGACAAACACGGCCGCGCATTCCTTCATAGCCCTGCCGGTGCCGGGAGGACGGCAGAGTGGTGCAGCAGGCAGGCCGGGTGGTGCAGGGGGGTCCGATGCAGGCAGAGGTTCCGTGCTAGCCGCTTGCCGCGTTCGCCCCACACGTGGCACCCATCAGCCACAACGCCAACGAACTCGGGTTTCGCGTTTGGGACATTCTCCGCTGCCATCCCAACATCCCCTTACGGCCCCGTCTCCTTGATCAATTCCAGCCCGCAGCAACGTTTGCTACCGAAGAGGCGAGAGATTTCACGTTGATTTTATGTTCCAGTTCAGCGTTGCGCTTCCTCTCTGTGGGCTGCGCTGCTGGGTGCCGCGTCACCCCCAGGCGAGCGAGTTCGCCCGGCGCGCGGAGCTCGGCAGAAGCCGGCGCGCACCGGTCTGCGAAGCCCCTTGTATCCGTGCCGTTCGGGTCACGTGTTGGTCCCTGTCGTCAATCAAACTGAAAGTTCGCTCGGACAGAGCTGGACACTCGCCAAACTAGGTGTGGGGGGCGGGTGTGGGGGGGGGGCTGAGAGAAGTCAACCCTCGACGGGGCGCGCGGGAAGCGCCGCTTCTGTGTTACGCGAGAGCTCCCAACAGATGTGTCCCAGCAGATGTGTCCCAACAGATGTGTCCCAGCAGATGTGTCCCAGCAGATGTGTCCCAGCAGATGTGTCCCAGCAGATGTGTCCCAGCAGATGTGTCCGCTGGGACAAAAAGGACGCTGAAGATCTCGTTGCGTCCGTTTCCAGCTCCGCTGGCACTAGCGGGAGAGTTGGTTCGGCCACTGCTGGATAAAGACTTCCCCTCCACGCCGTGTTAGTTGTAGGGGTTGTACCATACTTCACCACGATGGTGAGAGCGGCTTGGTGAAAGCGAGGGGGGGGCGCGGTTGGCGTTCAGACATCCCGAGCCATTGGCCATGGGGTCGCCGGGTTCATATCGCAGTGCGCTAATCACTGCGCCACCGTTCCATCTGTTTATCACTTAAACGCAACAACTCTCGCTTTACCCCTCCCCTGCGCTGCGGGTGTCCGTCTCCCGTCCCTGCAGAGAACTCGATCGCCGCAAAGTCTGGGGGCTGCTTCCCCGGGGACTCGCGCGTCTTCGTCGAGGGCGGCCGATCCAAGCGGCTCCGGGACCTGCGGCCGGGAGACCGCGTCCTGGCGGCCAGGGGGCCCGGTTCGCGCCCCGTCTACAGCGACTTCCTCCTCTTCCTCGACCACGAACCGCACCGCCGGCGACTCTTCCTCTCCGTGAAGACGGCGGCGCCTGCGCGCACGCTCCTGGTCACCCCCGCGCACCTCGTCTTCGCCGCCAACTCGAGCGACCCGCGGCACGCGAGGCCCGTGTTCGCCAGCAGGGTGCGGCCGGGCATGCACGTGTTCGTGCTGGACGGCGACGAGGTGACGACGTCCGGTGATGACGATCACGAGGAGGAGGAGGAGGAGGATCGTCGCGGTCGCGATGGCGGCGCACGTCTGCGTGCCGCGCGCGTGGAGCGCGTGATCTGGGTGGAGGCGTGGGGCTCGCTGGCCCCGCTCACGGCTCACGGCACGCTGGTCGTGGACGGCTTCCTCGCCTCCTGCTACGCCGTGGTGGAGCTGCACGACTGGGCCCACGCCGCCTTCGCGCCTCTTCGTGCGGCGCACGCGGCCGCCAGGGCCACGCAGTGGCTCTTGGGTCGGGCGGCCTCGCCCGGGGTCACCGAGTCGCCAGAGGAGGAGGGGGAGGAGGAGGGGGAGGAGGGGGAGGGGGAGAGCAGATTCCTCGGTCGGGACTCTCGGTTCCCCGGCAACTGCAGCGGCGCGCTGGATGCGAGGAGCGCGCACATCCACTGGTACTCGCGACTGCTGTACGGACTGGGTCGCCTGGTGTTGCACGACGACAGATACCACCCGCTGGGCATGGAGCTAGAACCCTGCAGCTAGAGCCGGGGTAATGCTGGTGGTGGTGGTGGTGGTAATGGTGGTGGTGTTTGTGGTGGTGGTGGTGGTATAATACTTATGTGTATGGCTGGTGTTGTCGACTGTGGCGTGAGAACTAATCTGTTCCACCCCTGCAGCATCTGTCCCTTCCCCCGTCACTGTCTCTCGCACACCAGTGCGTGCATATGCACACACACCAGTGCGTGCATATGCACACACACCAATTCATGCATAGACACGTTCCTATTGACACGCAAACATAAATATGTACATAGGCACTTCATACGTACATACATACACACGCGCGCACTAATCAGCAACTAAGCGAATTAGCCCCCCCCCCTGCTCTTACATTCACACGTTAGATAACACGCACGCATATCCTACAGAATACTTCCTTGTGCATTGCACACGAGCGCGCGCACACACACACACAGGGAAACAGACAAATACAAAGATCCCCGGTATAGCCTTAAATACTATCAGAGCAAGTGCTGTTAGCGAGCATTATTAAAGGCCGGCGTGACACACGAGGGGGTGGGTGGCCAGCACCACTCCGCCTCTGTCTCCCCAGTGGCGATGTTTACACACCGCACCAGGTACTCGCTTGAGCCTGAGTCGACCTCGGAAAGGCCTAGGACCGGTTCATATAATCACTGCGGTGCCGCTCCCCACAGTTTCACACGCACACACACGTACACACGTCCGTTTACACACGGAGTTAGACTGAGCCACTGGACAGAACAACAACAACTGCCATTCGCCACTAAGTGGCGGTGACGTCACCACGACGCTTGTGCCAGGCTATGTGCACCTTGAGGCCACGTGAAGTGTCGAACGCCCGCTGGCAGGAGGTAACAGGGCAGACCAAGGTGCCACGGGTAGACTGACTGAGATGACTGGCTGATGCACCACCTGTGCCCCCTACTGTGCCAACTTGCTGTGCTTTAGCCACAAGGCGCTCCGCTCGTTGTTGTGAACGTCGCTCCTTCGCCCTCCGTTGTTGTAGGAGAGGGACTGCCTCCAACTGCCCAGCAGCGTCCTTCACGAGCCTCCTCCACAGAGGCCGATCAAGTCCACTCAGCTCCACATCCTCCTGTACCACATCACTCCATCTCTTCTCTAGCCCGTGCCGCGCCAGTTTAGCCCCTTCTATCCGGCGAAACAGAAGTTGTTTGGGCATGCGGTTCCTGGGCATGCGGGCTACATGACCCAGCCAACGCAGCCTTGCCTGCCGGAGGAGCTCACCGATGGGACTTTGCTCAGATCTTTCAATGATTTGTGAGCTCCTCACACAATCCAGCCTGGTTAAACCCAGAATGAATCGTAGGCAGGCCATCCTAAATGTTTCCAATCGGCGAAGATGCTCCATTAGGGAGGTCCACGTTTCGCAAGCGTAGAGAAGGGAGGGAATGACCGTAGCCAAAAAGACTTGAAGCTTCGTGCGGAGCGACAGACCAGGTAGCTTCCACACAGCGTTACGCAACCGATGAAAAGATAATGCCGTTCGACTGATTCTGAGTGAGACCTCTGCTGTCAAACCAGAGCCGGTCATGAGCACACTGCCCAGATATGGGAAACTCTCCACTCTCTCCACAACTTCCCCATCACCAATTGGGAGTTGTGGGGGTGGAGTGCCCGATGGTACAAAATACCCAGGCAGGTGCTTAGTTTTGGTGGGGCTGATGGTAAGGCCCCACCTCTTAGTGGCACGCTCCAGTTTCAGCAGCAGCGCCTCCAACTCCTCCTCTGAGTGAGCGGCAATTACCAGATCACCCCTTGACCGCACCCGGGCATCGATCAGCTTCCCATTGTAAATGTACCAGATGGAAATTCCTCTGGTACAGCCATCAAAGGCTTCACGAACTACGTGGTCGAAAAAAATGTTAAATAATGTTGGAGCCAAAGAACATCCCTGTCGTACCCCAAGGTGAACAGGGAATGGCTCCGACTCCCGGCCAAGTAGTTTTACCCGGGCCCGCTCACCATCATGAAAGTCCTTAATGATCGTGAGCAGAGGGTCAGGGACTCCGAAAGCACGACGAACAACCCAGAGCCCAGGCCTACTGATGGTATCATAGGCCTTGACCAGGTCAATAAAGCAGAGATGTAGGTCTTGTTGGAATTCCCTACACCTCTGCTGTAGCAAACTGACAGAGAATATGGCATCTGTGCAGGACCGCCCTTTCCTGAAATCACATTGGGGCTCCGCAAGCCTCTCCTCAGCATGCCTGGCAAGGCGATGTTGAATAATCCTTGCCAGGACCTTTCCCGGCACACTAAGGAGTGAGATGCCCCTGTAGTTGTTACAGTCTGTGCGGTCCCCCTTCTTACAGAGAGGGAGGCACATACACCCACGGACTCACACTCAGCCACAAAGATCTCCCGTGTAGCGAGCACCTAGTAAGGTCGGCACGCGCACAAGCGGCACTGTTAGGTCAAGTAAGACACAAAGACGAAGATCCCCCATGTAGCCTTTACCGAACTATTCGGGAAAGGTCTCTAGCGAGCACCGAGTTAATACACGCACACATCCACAAGCACAAAGGTCCCCTTACAGACTGAATACATGCTGTCAGCGAGCACCTATTCAAGGGTTAACTCGGCACAACTGGGAATTATTTGGATTTCGTGTCTGCACAGCCCATTTGTTGGTAGTTATATACTAGTTTGACCTACGGCACATATATACACAGTCAATATACCGTGTCTATATATACCGTGTACTGTCGCTTCATGTGGGTGTGATGGTAGCGAGAACATACGAAAGGATCATCTGATAGTAACTACATCCAGCAAAGACAAAGGTCCCCCGTATAGACTGTTGGGGCAAGGGTTCTAGGTGAGCGCCTATGAGGGTCAACACAGCACACGAGGTGGTTAGATCGATGACTCCACGCCCGGCCGTCTTTGTCTCCCCAGTGCTGATATTTTACACACCGCACCAGGTACTCATTTGCGGCTGAGTCGATCTAGGAGAGGCCCAGTATCGGTTATATAAGCGCCACTGGTTTTGGCTTTGAGCGGGAATCGAACCCGTGTCGGGCAGCCTATGAACAGACACCCACATCCACAAGCATATATATAATAAAACCATTGCGTCGAACATGATCACACACACACATACACGCGCCCACTCAGTGACACACACACACCACACACGTCACACTCTGCACCGTCCCTCAACGCCATCCATCACGACATGAAATCGTGAATTTTCCCCGAAAGGACACGGCCAAATATCGACGACGGTCACTCAAAAACTCGCTCGCGTGTTTACTATACACGCGCAAGTGTTCACTACACACCAACATGTTCACTACACACGCACGGACACGACGAGGTGCACTGACGCACGCTCTGCGCAGCGTGTATGTTGGTAAGAGAAGTAGTGGTAACCATCACACAGTGGTACTGGTGTAGTAGTGGTAACCATCACACAGTGGTACTGGTGTAGTAGTGGTAACCATCACACAGTGGTACTGGTGTAGTAGTGGTAACCATCACACGATTGAGGCGTCGGTGCCGCTGGTGGCCACTGCCAAGCACGCGGCAGGCCGCACAGCCCGCGGAGAGCAGACAGCAGGCGCGTGACGACGCGTCGAGTAGTCTCTGTTCGCATCGATTCATATCGCAGGTCACGATGCTTCACAGCGAATCCTTTCGTGCTCGTTGTATGTATCGGGTTCCCGTGCAGCCGCTCGTGGCCGCTACATTCGCTAAACAAAAATTAATCTGTGAATTGTATTGCGACCCTGAAGCGGGGTTATTAATTTAAGTCGCCTAGTACCGGATCAGATCTCACTCAACATTGATGTTGGCCTTGGCCGTGAATCGGACTCGGCTCTCAGCAGCGGCGAGTGATACCTAATGTTAGCCGTGACCGAGGCGTGGTGAATAGTCACACCCCTCTGGTTAGAGACCCATTTGTTCATTTGACGGTACCTGCGGGTTTGGTAACGAGCCCGTGTCTGACCCAGCAATGATTCGGGGTGGCCGCTCAGCGTGGAAAGCTGTGAGGGTTCGCCCCAACGCACGCGCATGCGGGTAGAGGGCTCGCGGGCTTTTGACGCAGTGTCACGCATGCGTCATACAGCGCGCATGCTGCAGGTAACGCTCACACGCGCGAGGCACGTGACGATTCGCATGTAGATGAAGTTTCGCTGTACAATGCTTTATTTGGTTCTCCACTGCACAACCGAGTCGCGCCGGGGCCATTTCGAGACATCCCGACAAGGACACAGGAGGGGCGAGGTTGTTGTTGTTGTTGCTTGTGGCCACTGACGAAGTCGTGCCGCTAACGCGACACGCAATGAACGAGTCGCGCTATATGTAGATGAGGCGGGGATGCTGTATCCCCTTGGCCTACTGACTTACATCGCACGTAATGAACACCTAATTAGCCGCTGGCCCTATTTGACCACAAGCCAGATTAAGACGTATTTTAGTGAGGCCAGCATATCACGGCTTAGTTCCAGCTGGAAACGGATCATAGGCATTGGAAAACAACCCGTACCGTGAGGGTCCGGCGTTGGCTCGGCTCGGATGTGCCAGTGGAAGAGGGGTACGCGTCCATATGGCTGTGTAACAAATGTGCTGTTGGAGTTGGAGACACTGCGGGAGGAGCACGTTATTGCTTTGATCACGTGCCCGCTGGCATCAAACTAATCAACGACAAAATATTCCCTTAAGTTTCCTATTTGAATCAGCGATAAATAAGGAAGAGTTTCACTTAAGGGATCAGATCCACACGTGAATGAAACTATGTGTACGTGTGCATGTGTGTATGTATGTACTTGTGTACGTGTGTGCACGTGTGTGTGTGACAAAGGCGGTCGGGAGTGGTGCTGGTCACACCACCCCCTCGTGCGCCGCGCCTGCCTTCTAAGGTTCTCGCGAGCAGCCCTTGCCCCACATATCTTGTTAGATGCCACACGGGGGACCTTTGTCTTTGTATGCTTGCGTGCCCTTGAGGGAACAGTGGTGCCAAGGTTAGCGCACTATGCTACGAACCCGGCGCGCCTGAATTCAATTCCCTGCTTCCCCTTAAAATGAGTACCTGGTGCACCAGCATTGGGGAGGAGGCAAAGGGAGCCGAGAGTGGTCCTGGTGGTCCTGGTCACCCACACCATCGCGTACGCCGGCTACCATTTGTGTGTGCTCGCCAGCAGCACTCAGCCCAACAGTCTGTACGGCAATAAGGAGGATCTTTGTGTTGTTGTGAACGTGTGTGCGCTGGTACCCGTGTGTCTGCGTGTGCTTGGGTGTGTGCGCATGCTAGTATCTCGTTGGGGAGAGCGGCAGTGTCGTGGTTAGCGCGCTACGAACCTGGCGATCCAAGTTCGATTCCCGCTCACGACCAACACCAGTGACGAATATGCGACCCGGTCCTGGGCCTCCCCGAGGTCGATTCGCCGCAAATCAAAGTACACGATGCCACATGTGCAAACGTCGCCACCACATACGTTGATGTATGTGCTATAAGGCAGTGTTGTTGTTGATGGATGAGTTGAATGTGTTGTTTTGTTGACTGTGCTCGTGCACCACTGCCAACGCTGCAGAAGCCTCGCCAAGTCATTTGACGCAGAGTGAGGACTCTGCTGCTGCGCAGCGCTCTCGACTCGCACCGCGGTGATGTTCGGCATCGTGTTCCACGTTTCGCTCCACGTGCTGGGAGCGTCCTCGGAGAACTGAAGCGAATCGTCGGACATCTTGCCGAACAGCAGGCCGTGCAAAGTAATCAGAGAGAGAGAAAAGTGAGCATTCGCTGTAGAAACACGTGTGGATTTGTCCCGTGATGTTTCTCTCTCGTGCAACTGGTGCCTGGGCCACGACCCGCCGCCGCCCTGCTTGCACACACCACCACTGGCCTCGACTCACGCAGCTACTCACGCGGGCACTCCTCTGCGTAGGTCCCGTAAATTATATTTTTCTACGATCGGATTGTAAAATAGTTTCCAAAAACGTGGGGGTCAATTTTTTATTATGTTCGTTTTCTTTTCTTCGGGGGTGACGGGGTTATTATTATTATTACTGAAGGGTGTGTTTTGTAGAGTGTTGTAAAATATTAAATTGATTTTGTTTTCTTTTCAGAAGAGGCAGATGACGATAAATATATATTATATATAATTTTAATTTAATTGAGGAATACGGAGACAGGTGGAGCGTGCTGGTCGGTGAGTGAGAGTTGAGAGTGCGCGTCGTGCTGAACTGTGCCTTGGGGTCTGACGCGTTACGGGGATCGGGCAGAAAGTTTGACACTTCGCCGATGTGTGCAGTAAAGAGGTTCTTTCTTACACAGACGCGCCTCTCCTGCCTTTTCCTACCACACGAGTCACCATCGTCTGAAGCAGCATCATGCAACCCAACACGCCCGTCAGATCACATCAGATACAGGGGCTCGCCGCCTCCACAGCGGCGAGGTCGTCTCCCCTGGAGAGCTCAACCTCCGCAGGTGGCGATCCGCAGGTGGCGATCCGCCTGCTGCTGCTGCAGCAGCTGCCGTGACTGCTGCTGTTGCAGCGGGTGTGGGGACAGCGAGCCTCCCCCTCGGAGTCAATAACGCTGCACTTAAAATAACACACATTCAACATATATACAATAGGCGACGTTTCGGGCAATGGTCCTTCTTCATAGCACATGTCGCACATGTCGCTGTTGTATATTCGTTCTAAGGCCACGGCGTATAATTGACGACGTGTTGAGTTTTGTTGTTGTATTTTTGTTGTTGTTGTTGTATTTTTGTTGTTGTTGTTGTTGTATTTGCACTACGGCCAACGGAGCATCAGCATCACGAATCGAGTTACGTATATACCTGTATTTGGTATATATACGAGATGTTTCGTGTACACGGACACATTGACGATACAATATGCCCAAGCTAGATGGGTCATTTTGACTCGATGAGAAAAGAGGGCACTTTGAAAGACGAGATGATGTATCCTCACAAAGATCCCCCGTGTAGCCTTCACGGGCTCTTGGGACAAGTGCTGTTAGTGAGCATCTATGAAGGCCGGCACGGCACACGAAGGGTTGGGTGGCCAGCTCCACGCCCGGTCGCCTTTATCTCCCCAGTTGCGATATTTCCACACAGGTACTCATTTGAAGCTGCGACCTACAAATACACAAACACACCATCGCACCCCGCAGAGAAGTCGCAATATCAACCCGCCTTCTCTCCCCGCCCTCCCAGCCCCCGCTCCCTCGCCCCTCCACCCCTCGTCCGCATCCTCTCCCCTTGGCCCCCGCCCCCCCGCTACATTTCGAGGCTCGGTATTGAATCGGCGGTGTCGCTGCTCGGGTCATCTACACACACCCCCACACGTACACAAAGGCAGGGACTCCGAAAAAACGAAGGACAACCCAGAGCCTTGATCTACTGGTGGCATCGTAGGCCTTGACCATGCCGATAAAGCAAAGATGTAGGTCCCATTGAAATCCCCTACACCTTTGCTGAAGTAGACGGACAGAGAATATGGCATCTGTGCAGGACCTCCCTGGCCTGAAACCACACTGGGGCTCCGCAAGCTCTCCTCAGCGTGCTGCCTGGCCAGGCGATGTTGAATCATCCTCGCCAGGACCGTTCCCGGCACACTGAGGAGGGAGATGCCCCGGTAATTGTTACAGTCTGTGCGGTCCCCCTTCTTAAAGAGGGGTGCCGCCAAAGAATCCTTCCAGTGTTCTACCTACACACACACAAACAAAGATCCCCCGTATAGCCTTAACAGACTGTTGAGACAAGTGCTGACAGCGAGCACCGATGATAGTCCGGAAGGGCACACGAGGGGGTGGGTGGCGAGCACCACGTCCGACCGCCTTTGTCTACCCAGAGCTGACGTTTACACAGCGCATCGGGTACTCGTATAAGGCTAAGTCGACCTAGGGGAGGCCCAGGAACGGTTCAGATATTCTCACTGATGTTGACCGTGAGCAGGACTCGAAGTCGGGTCGCCGGGTTTAGAGCGCAGTGCGCTAAGAACTACAACACGATGCCTACATACGCACACGTCGAGGGTCTATTCATTCTAATTTAGTGATGCTGCTGCATTCGCAGTGGTGCAAAAGCACAGTTAACAAAACACCTCTAAACATTCATCAATAACACTTGTGGCCTTAAGGGGAAAATATGTCTTAGGTGACGTTTCGAGCAATGGCCCTTCTTAATAGTACGTATATAAATCTTGACTTAAAGCTTTCGTGACTATAGGAATTCATATTCTTTGGGTCTTTCGGTAAAGTCACGTAGATAGGTTCGAAGAAAATAACTGAGCTGGCTTTACCGAAAGACCCAAAGAAGAGCACGTATACACATCGACATGGTTGATATTGCCCTGATGAATATGGCTTGGTAGGTAGGCAGTGCTGGTATTGTTCCAGGTACAGCAGCGCTTTGTAATCCTTCCATGAAGGCGCTGTAGAGAAATACAATGATTGGTATTTAACATTCACACACAGCGCTAAAGGGTGGGGGATAGTGGGCACAGGGGTGGGAGGGAGAATGGGGGAGGGGTGGGGGCTAGGGGTGGGAATGGGGAGGGGAGTGGGGGGGCTAGGGGTGGGAAAGAGAATGGGGAGGGGAGTGGGGGTCTCGGGGTGGGAGAGAGAATGGGGAGGGGAGTGGGGGGCTCGGGGTGGGAGAGAGAATGGGGAGGGGAGTGGGGGGCTCGGGGTGGGAGAGAGAATGGGGAGGGGAGTGGGGGGCTCGGGGTGGGAGAGAGAATGGGGAGGGGAGTGGGGGGCTCGGGGTGGGAGAGGGAATGGGGAGGGGAGTGGGGGGCTCGGGGTGGGAGAGAGAATTGGGAGGGGAGTGGGGGGCTCGGGGTGGGAGAGAGAATGGGGAGGGGAGTGGGGGGCTCGGGGTGGGAGAGGGAGCGGCAGCAGCGGAGCTCGACAGCGGCGTGAGACGAGACGCGGGAACGACACCGGCTCGTGACACTGCGCGGGCGAATGAAAGAGAGCGAACGAAAGATAGCGAATGAAAGAGAGCGAACGAAACTGAGCGGTCGAGTCACGGGGAATGGCGACCACAACGCATCGTCATCGCTGTCGATTCGTGACAATTCTCCCGAATCGCTCGGATGGACGGCTGGTGAATGGCGGTGACATGCCGAACGTCTTATCCACGGAGACCGCGGGGAGGAGGAGGGGGAGGTGGCTGGGCTGGCTGCGAGTTTGTGACGAGGAGACGGTGGCGAGAAGAGGCGGGGGAGGGGCCCGGGGTCTGGGGGGTGAGGAGGGGGGGGTAGGGACACAGCGGTGCCTCTGTCCGTGGCTGCGCCGGAGCGAGTGACCCGGCCACAGTTGTCGCTGAGCAAACAGCCTCGGGGCCACGGGTGCGTGGTGACCTGGAGGCGAGGGGCGGGGCTGGGGGACGGCTGGGTTGGGGGCGAGGCGGGGGGAGAGCGAGGGGGGGCTGCGTGAGTGGTGCAGGAAGAGGAGGTTCAGGAGGAGGAGGAGGTGGAGGAGGAGGAGAGGTTGGCGCTCTCTACTCCCCTCTCGCGGCAACTCGGCGTCCCTGCTTGACGCGGGACACCGCGGCATGAGGTCGATGGGGGGCTTCGTTCGGGTGGCTGTTAGGGGACACCCCCCCCCCCATCTCTGATGATGATGATGAGCACTGGGGGTACGAAGACTGCTGGGCGTGGTGCATTTCGGCTGGGGAGGCGATGGGGTTTAAGTTGAAGAGGTCCGTCACGTGCGCTCGTTGCAGTAGAGGACACCCACCCATCGCCATCGCTTCCTTCCTCCGAGTCCCAAGGCGCGCGCTGCTGCTGCTGCTCCTGTTGCTGCTCCTCCTCCTGCTGCTGCTCCTGCTGCTCCTGCTGCTGCTCCTGCTGCTCCTGCTGCTGCTGCACAGACGACACCGCAGCTCTGGGTTCGGCTCCGATGCCGCCGAGTGCTGCGCGAGCAGTTGCGCTCAGACGCGGACAAAGCAGCTGCAGGCGATTGCAAACGATCGCTCTGGTCTGGACCGGGGGGCTGCACTGAGTCATAGGGCGCGCGTGGGTGGGGATGGGTCCCCCTGCCTCGAGATTGCCGGGGTGTAGGGGGTTACTTCTACAAACGCAGGGATCAAGCAGACAAGTCAGCGCGTTGGCGCCATGACCTCGGGGCAACGATCGATCGATGTGGAGCCCGCGCGTGGACAGAGGGGACGCGCTGCCCCACAGTGTCGCGGGGCGGCGCGATCCGATCTCTCGGCGCGGCAGTCGAAACAATAAGCACGTTTCTTAAAGCAGCTCCGCTTCTGGCCTACCAGCAGTGCGAATGGGTAGCACGCGGCTCGAGTAGAGTGCGGTGGGGTAAAGTGCGGGGGGTACTCCCTCGTCAGAGACGTCTGAGAGTGGCCGATGTTTCGCATCGAGAGGTTCTCTGGAGCTCTCTGAAGGCCATTCCGCCAACATCGGCGTGAGCGAGCACTTGCAGGGCTGCGCCTTTACTTTGCATTGTAAGGCTCACCTGTGGACAGGCATCGAATCGCGTGTAATCATCGATTGTTTTGTATGAATCGACGTGCGCTTGTTCAGCTATAACATAATAGAAGTTCACGCAGCGATGTCTTGTTGTTGTTGTTGCCTTTTGGTCGTATTGCACGCGCTACAACCCAACAACAACAACACGCGCTACAAGCCGACAACAACAACAACAGCAGCACCACCAGATCGCGGGAGCCGCCCCCAGCACAACCACGAACTTGTGGGCACCAGCGGCACCAGCGGCGTCGACTCCGGGCGGGCGACGCGGAGCCAGGTGGCAATTCGCCTCCTCCACGTATTTGTCTCCCCGCGTACAAAACCCATTAAAGTATTTGGCACATCCCGTCAGCCTCTGGCACTGTCGTTGTGAACTCCCCGAGGCACTCGGACACTCACAACGCGTCCTCACCGCTCCCTCCCTCCCTTCTCATCCCCCTCTTGCTGCTGCTGCTCTTCCTACCGTAGCCTCGTCCCGAGAGGGGGACATGGACTCGAGACGCAGTGGAAGCCGACGAGGGGGCAAACGTCGCGCGAGTTTCTCGATACCTCGAGGCGGCCACCCCGCCAGGCCGGGCGATGCCGCGGGTGCGCGAGCATCCCCGCAGCACAGAGCGGAGCGCGCATCGCTTCTATTCTACACGAGTTCCAGCTTGAACGCGAGTTCAATAGAGTACGCATCGCTTCTATTCTACACGAGTTCCAGCTTGAACGCGAGTTCAATAGAGTACGCATCGCTTCTATTCCACACGAGTTCCAGCTTGAACACGAGTTCAATAGAGTACGCATCGCTTCTATTCTACACGAGTTTCAGCTTTAACAAGAGTTCAATAGAGTACGCATCGCTTCTATTCTACACGAGTTCCAGCTTGAACACGAGTTCAATAGAGTACGCATCGCTTCTATTCCACACGAGTTCCAGCTTGAACACGAGTTCAATAGAGTACGCATCGCTTCTATTCTACACGAGTTTCAGCTTTAACAAGAGTTCAATAGAGTACGCATCGCTTCTATTCTACACGAGTTCCAGCTTGAACAAGAGTTCAATAGAGTACGCATCGCTTCTATTCCACACGACTTCTAGCTTGAACACGAGTTCAATAGAGTACGCATCGCTTATATTCTACACGAGTTGCAGCTTGAACACGAGTTCAATAGAGTACGCATCGCTTCTATTCCACACGAGTTCCAGCTTGAACACGAGTTCAATAGAGTACGCATCGCTTCTATTCTACACGAGTTTCAGCTTGAACAAGAGTTCAATAGAGTACGCATCGCTTCTATTCTACACGAGTTCCAGCTTGAACACGAGTTCAATAGAGTATGCATCGCTTCTATTCTACACGAGTTTCAGCTTGAACAAGAGTTCAATTGAGTACGCATCGCTTCTATTCTACACGAGTTCCGGCTTGAACAAGAGTTCAATAGAGTACGCATCGCTTCTATTCCACACGAGTTCCAGCTTGAACAAGAGTTCAATAGAGTACGCATCGCTTCTATTCTACACGAGTTCCAGCTTGAACACGAGTTCAATAGAGTACGCATCGCTTATATTCTACACGAGTTCCGGCTTGAACACGAGTTCAATAGAGTATGCATCGCTTCTATTCTACACGAGTTTCAGCTTGAACAAGAGTTCAATAGAGTACGCATCGCTTCTATTCTACACGAGTTTCAGCTTGAACACGAGTTCAATAGAGTACGCATCGCTTCTATTCTACACGAGTTCCAGCTTGAACAAGAGTTCTATAGAGTACGCATCGCTTCTATTCTACACGAGTTCCAGCTTGAACACGAGTTCAATAGAGTACGCATCGCTTATATTCTACACGAGTTCGAGCTTGAACACGAGTTCAATAGAGTACGCCTCGCTTCTATTCCACACGAGTTCCAGATTGAACACGAGTTCAATAGAGTACGCATCGCTTCTATTCTACATGAGTTCCAGTTTTAACACGAGTTCAATAGAGCACGCATCGCTTCTACTGAACACGAGTTCCAGAGAGTGGCTCGAGGGTTCATAACGACCGCGTCGGACTCACTGTGCCAGGCACCGCTGAGGCCCGACAGCTTTGGGATCTGAGTTGTCAATGACTGCGCCTCGCATCAAATACCACGTGATGCTTGCACTTGTGTCGTCACTCGCTACATCGCCGATGACGAACGTCTCGAGACAGTCACGTGACTCGGCGGCGCTTTCCTGCACAAACGGACGGGATTGCTACAATTATTGCCTGGAACGTCGACTGCTGCAGATGTTTCCTTTTGTCAAATGTGCCTGTGCACCACTGCCAACGCAGCAGCAGCAGCATCGCCGTGTACTGTACATGCATACTGTAGCCTTGACTGACGGGCTTGCTCCGTGCCACCTGTAGCGTGGCTAGGAGGCAAACTAAAATGTTGCGTTCAGTTCGTAGTCCTTCCCACGCACCTTGATTGGCACGGTGGGCTACGTACGGTCCGCAATCATTCAACATCCATGCTAACACTACCTTATAACAGAAAACACACGCAGTAGGCTGACGTTTCTGGCAATGGCGCTCTTTCAGGAACGCAGTCGGCAGGCGAAGTGAACAACGGAATGCTGCAGATTGCACTTCACGCTGTAGTGCGAGACCGCACGAGAAGCAAACTCTCGCAAGCCCAGCCCGCACTCTCACTCTCCCGTCTCTCTCTTATCTCTCTTATCTCACTTATCTCACTGCGCCCGCCGCGTTCCCCTTGAAAGAGGAGTTTATCCGTGATGATCATCATAATCATTTACTGCGTCTTGGCGGAGGCCTTTAATAGCAGTGGATTGAGCATGGTTGATGATGAGTAATGACTAGACCCGTATCAATCCATTTCTGGATGTAGGCAACCCACGTCGCGTCGGCTGTCATTGGGATTGTTTGACCATACTTCACCACGCTGGTCGAGGCAGGCTGCTCAAGGGGACATTTAAAGGGATTTCAAGTGGCGAGTGTCTTCTTACGCTTCTGGGATCTTTTTTTCAGCCTCGGCTCCGGCCATTGACACTGTGGGCGAACATCTCCTCCCGTCGGCACGGTGCACGAATACATAGTGTGGCCAGCAACACGTCTGGCCGCCTTTGTCTTCCCAGTGACGATATATACACACCGCACCGGGTACTCGTTTGAGGCTGAGCCGGCCTAGGGCGAGGCCCAGAACTAGTTCAGATAATCGTCGTCACTGGTGTTGGCCGCGAGTGGGAATCGAACCCCGGGTCGCCTTTCACTGCTACACGACGGCCCCCCACACACACGCACTCGTGTGTGTGTGGGGAGCCGTCGTGCGTGTGTGAGTACAGGAGAGTCGCGTTGGTGTTTCTCTGCGCGCTTAAACACACAAACACAACGCATTGTGCGCCCGTTGTCTCGCTGCACGGCCCGGTAGAGGAATGTGTGCACAGCTGTACAACACAAAGGAGGAGCAGGGAGAGAGAGAGAGAGAGCGCGGAGGGGTGGATGAGGATGGGGGAGAGGGCGGTACGTGGGGGGGGGGGGGGTGAGTTGGACGTGGGGGGTGAGTGAGGTTTGAGCGCCGCGTGTTTTTGGTGTTCACAAAAGCGGCCGCCACAACGTAAAGAAAAACAATCAGACTGAGAAGATGAATCAGACTGATGTCCGCCTCAAGTGAGCAATGATGCATCGCTGCTCATTTTCCGTTTACAGACGTGAGCCAGTAGCAGAACATTCGACGTTCCTTTGACAGGGCCGAGTCTCTCCATAGAGCCAACACTGTTTAGTTTCTCACAGAATAGTAGCATTTTTTATTCAATTAGCCTCGGAGCGATGATTTATTGAGTCAACCCCTAAATCAGGGACCTGAACTCGAGACCTTCCGATTGCGAGCAGCCCGCTCCGGCTCCGGGCCACGTGGCCTCAGCGCGCCTCGCGGCCCATCTGCAGCCGCAGCGTGTCCGCAAATAAACTCGCGCATGGCGCGGTCAGACGCCGTGTGGCCTCTCAACGCCGACATCGCGCAGCAGCGGCAGCAGCAGCGGCAGCAGCGGCAGCAGCAGCTTCTGTTGGAGCAAGACAATTCTGCACCGGCGTCGACCTTCTGGCTCTCATCAGCAGAGCACGGCTTGTTGAACACACACTGCTGGATTACGCGATGTTATTGGTAGGAGCCCTCCATGTCAACCATGGCTCTGGAAAGCCAATAGGCCGATGTACTAAAACGCCATTGTATGCATGTGGAGACAGGAGATCTGCTCGTTTCCTTTGACCCTACACGCTTCACAGAAACGCGCGATGTTCCACCTTGCGTCCTCTGCGCGTGGAGTCTCTCAATGTAAATTGCGCTGGCAATTTACATTGAGAGAGAAACACGAACAGGTGGATTCGAGAACGCGCAGGTTGAATGACATCGCCATGGCCATCTGAAATGTGGGCGAGGCTTGAGCAGGACGCGTCACGCCGATGGTCGAGACTAACGACGGAGAGGCAGCAGAGGGATGGAACGCGTCCTCGATGACTTGAGAGTGCTGGGCGGATTGTGTCGACCGGTTGGGGAGTCCTCCATCCAGCAGTGGACCGACCATGCCCGACGATGATGATGATCTACAGAGGCATACGCTGCCCCAAACGTGGGGTGCATCTGCGTCGCGGCGAATGGGCTGAGCGCGTGGCGGCGGCGAAGGACTCTCGCCTGCGAAGAGAGCCGACGTCCACATCTCAGAGTCTTTGGCTGCAACACATTCCCACGTGATGTGAGCCACTTCGTTCAGATGTGTGACCAGGTAGCGTCTGAAAAAAGTATCTATATAGCTCAGTGGGCCGTAACTGGTCAGATAAAATAGTGATAGTTGGTTAGATCTCGGAGGGAGGCGAAAAGGCCCTGGCGTGGCGACGGAGGCCATTCAGACGCGCACGTCTCGTCCCCAGAAGCCTCACGTCACTCACGTCACTCACGTGCTGCTGCTGCTGTTGTTGCTGTTGTTGCTGTTGTTGTTGCTGTTGTTGCTGTTGTTGTTGCTGCTGCTGCTGCTGTTGTTGTTGCTGTTGTTGCTGCTGCTGTTGCTGTTGCTGCTGCTGCTGTTGCTGCTGCTGTTGTTGTTGTTGTTAACCGTGGCCGGGAATTGACTCAAGTGGTCGAGTTCAGCACGCCACATTCTGCGTGAAGTAAATGATCAGAGCGAGGTTTTATTTCAGCACCGTGATGTTCACGACAAAGGCAGTGTGTGTGGTGGTGGTGGTGGAGGTGGTGGAGGGGGTGATGGTGGTGGTGGTGGAGGGGGTGGTGGTGGTGGTGGAGGGGGTGGTGGTGGTGGAGGGGGTGGTGGTGGTGGTGGAGGGGGTGGTGGTGGTGGTGGTGGTGGAGGGGGTGGTGGTGGTGGTGGTGGAGGGGGTGGTGGTGGTGGTGGAGGGGGTGGTGGTGGTGGTGGTGGGACACAGCATGAGCGAGACCGAACGGCCAGTGTCTGGCAGCCCGAGCCCTTCACACGGGGTGGAGGAATGAACGAGTGAAGTTCACGGGAATGGCGACCACGGTCGTCGCGATAGAAGATTGACATCCATCACGCCGACTGCTGCTTTGCTCCGAATTCCAGCGTCGCCACACCGACTGCTGCCGTGTGCCTTGTGTCGCGCGCTTTACACAAACACAGTCCCGGCCAACGTCACAACCGGGATCGCTCAGCTGAAGCAAGTGGGCGACGCGGTGCGGTGTGTAAACATCGCCACTGGGGAGACAAAGACGGCCGAACGCGATGCTGACCCCACCACGCCCTCATGCATCACTTGTCCCAACCGTCGGTTAAGGTTATATGGGGGATCTTTGTCTTTGGACGTGTATGTGTGCGTGAGGATGACTGTGTATGTGTGTATGTGCGATGCGTTAAGTCAGTATTATGCGTGCGTTTTAAAGTGCACCTAGATCTGGAGGAGGGCTGTGCCAGGCTAGGTGCACGCAGTGGCCAATGGCGGCTCTTGTTGTTCTTGATGTTGCCGTAGAGCTGACGAGGGATCAAGTATTCGCGGTTTGTCTTTTCCACGGTTAAGCATCAAAATCGTGGTATTCGACATCCCACCACGTCGCCAGAGGTGGTGGGGCGGTAGAGTCTAAACTATGAATAACTGTCTATGTCACCAGGTAAGGCACACTGAACTATACAGCACTTTTTCAGAAGTGACTTGGCCGCAAATTGAAGCTCAACGAAGTCGCTTATCGCCGTGTGGACATCTATAGCAGCCAGACACTCGAAGCGCGTGATTCTAAATGTGGGAAACAAACCCGGGGACTCGGAGCAAAATCCACACGACCATGGGAAGAACTGGCAAACTGCAAATATACAGGTGCCAGGGTCGGGATTAACCTCCTGTATACTCGGCGAGGTAGTTAACATCTCGCCACTGTGAATAGGGGGGTAGGGGGCAGACAGGACCGCAGGAGGGGAGGGGGCGGGGTGGAGCTATGCATGCGTACATACATGCGTGTGTGGATCGTCAGTCGTTGAAGCCTTATCTGCGGATGGGATCTCATCCGCACGGGGTCCCCCACCCCATCCACCCTCCCCCATGTTCCGTCTCACGCGCGAGAGATCCTCGAGCGAGGCTCAACGCAAAACAAACGCGGGCAGCATTTGCGGCCTCCCCAGAGCAGCGCCTCCTGCGCGCGCCTCGCCCACGCGCGCCCCGCGAGCGGTCAGCCGCGCGGCCCTGAAAGGACGCAGTGTCTGACGGCAAATGTCGCTAAATGTCACGCACTCACAAAGTGCTGCTGCTGCGTAGAGCGAGAGAGGGGGGAGAGAGCGGGGGTGACAGAAGAGAATGAGAGAGAGGGATGGGGTAGGGGAGAGAGGGAGGGGAGAGAGAGGGGTACATAGAGAGGCCACGTCATTTGCTGTCAAATCGAATAGCCCCCCCCCCCCCGCTAATGGGTGTGCATCCTCGCCTGGAATCTAAACAAGAGGCGAAGTTGACTTTTCCAGCGTCTCCATCATTTGTCGGGGCCGCGCGTGACACACGAATCGAGCCGCACACGGGCCAGAGCCGGGCGGGGCGACATGGGGCACGGGGTTCGTGCGCTCTGCGGGAGACTGCAGTGGTGGTGGTGGTGGTGGTGGCAGTGGTGGTGGTGGTGGTGGCAGTGGTGGTGGTGGCAGTGGTGGTGGTGGCAGTGGTGGTGGTGGTGGTGGTGGCAGTGGTGGTGGCAGTGGTGGTGGTGGCAGTGGTGGTGGTGGCAGTGGTGGGTGGCAGTGGTGGTGGTGGCAGTGGTGGTGGTGGCAGTGGTGGTGGTGGCAGTGGTGGTGGTGGCAGTGGTGGTGGTGGCAGTGGTGGTGGCAGTGGTGGTGGTGGCA